TAAAACTTTAATTTACTTACCAGGCATAACTTTTTTTTTTATTACATCTCCCCATTCTATTTCTCGATATGATGATTATGGTGATTTTGAGGGGCTTTTTGGCTGCAAGTGGTATTTAACTTAAGTAGGATTAGTAAATCCTGAAACTCCAATAAATAATGGGGTGTTTAAATCTTGAAAGCTATTTGGTATGACATGTTAAATTCGATTAAATCTTGTGAATCTGTTTGACAACTTTTTTCAAAATTTAAATCTTTTTGTTGAAATACAAGATGAATTTAATATTACATGTGAATGATATAATTATTGTCTAATTAAATTACACTTAAAGTTATTATTTCTAACTATTATAATTAACTATTTACAAAACTAATTAATAATTAATAAGAATTTTGTTAAACTAGTCACTTCACAAGCAATATTTTAACATTTAGTAACTAATAATTGCTTATTTATTTTTTAAACTATTTATTATTAATTAGAATTTTATTAAATTAATAATGTTTTAATATGTAATTTAATATATGTTAATTAATCATGAAGTAGTTGCTTATGATGTTTACATAATTATGGTTAATTGGATAGCGTATTTATTAATTATTAATTATTAACTATTAATCAATTAATTTAATTGAACATAAAAAAAAATGAATTAAATCTCAAAATCTATCTTCCCCTTTTCCTCTCTTGCACGAAATCAATCTGTCTTGTACCTCTCCAGTGATCAGTGATCGAGACCCTCGCGATACAATTGCGACTAGAGCTAGCTGAAAAGATAATGATAGGATTGCAGGGTTCAAAGCCTTTTGAAACTCCCATATTTTTCCTTTTTTTTGTTCCACTTCTACCTAAAACCATTATGGAAAGTAACTATTATTTTTCTCTAGCTTCCTCCTACTCCCTTTCGCATACTTCAACTCTTCTAAATCCCGCAAACTCGTCTTCTAATGGAATTTACTAAATTTGAGATTTACAAAAAAATAGAGGAGAAATAGGATTTAAGATCAAGTCGGAACACAACAAAGGTGAATTTAGTAAGACAATTTGGCAACAATGAGGGAGGTTAGGTTGTTGAGATTGTTCGCTCGGGATTTGTTCAATCTTGAAATTTTTGAATGAACAAATCTTTATCTTTTCTTTGAAAAAATATTTTTGTAAATTTTTTTCTCGGGTTTCATTCTGTCGTTGACTTTGTTCGACAAGAATTGCAAATACGATAATGCATCTAATTGTTGTCCCAATATCAAAGTCCTTTCCTTGGCTTGGTTGTTGGTTTCTTGAAAGCCAATTTTATCATGTCTTAACACAATTTTGAGTTGAGCTTATTAGCACCATTTCACTTCGAACTCTTTATTCTCTTGAAGCTGTGCCAATGTACAATATCCACAATTAATTTTTTTTCCCCTTGTTTTGGCTACCGCAAGGGTGAAGTCCCCTAGGAAATGGTGAGTGCTTGAGACTTGATGGATGTCCTTGATTTGTATGTGACATGAAACTATTTAAACCCCCTAACTCATTTTAGCAACCTTCCCAAATGGTCAGGTCCAGCAAACATATTCTACAAGTTGGATCGGGTTTGCATAGAAGTAGCCAGAGTCACCTAGTTGTGGTTATTATTTCCTATGTCAATGATATGATATCTCAACTCAATTTTTTGAAGAGTCTTGTTTACTTGCTTGAACCTTATTTATAAAACTCACAAGTTTTCCATAGAAGCTCAGGCAAGTGAAAGATGTTGAAAATAGAAAAAGAGAATGAAAGAGAAACTTTAAGAGGATCTTTATTGTTTCACTTGGAATATAATGTAGAATATTTATCCCTGAGGTGATCCTTTGATCATATATTTATGGGATTTTGGGTGCTATTGTAGAGACTACATTCAAATCTAGTAAATAAATATGTAATATATGTGGTACAAACATGTTGACATAATAATCAGAATAAATGTGGATTGGTGCCCTAAGTGAAGGCAAGTTTCTTCCTAGTCATTGTGTGGACGAGTGCCCTTTGAGTTGGGTGAGTGCCCTTGTGAGCTGGATTCCTTCAAAATGGGTGAGTGTTCTTTGAGCTTAGGTAATTTGAGTAGGGTGACTGCTCATTTAAAATCTGGTGAGTGATTTTGGAAGCCCCGTGCTCCCGATTCACGACAAGTTCATTTGATCTCCTCAGCTTTATTCTGAATTGTTCATTTTAATATATAGTGAAACCACTTTATTTTCTTAAAACTAGATTATTCTTATACATATGAAATTTTGGAGAATATCATGAGGAAATCTTAATTACAAAAAAACAAGATTGGTTTAAAATGATCATTATATATGTACATGTATTTTATGATTGTGCTTTCAATATTTGGAATGAAAGTCTAGATTATTTAATTAATATTAATTTTTTTTAATTAGTTTCATCATTGATATGATTAGAATAAGCACATAAAGGTGTATTCTCTATAAATTAGGTAGTGTAATATTTGTATTATAAATTTGAAGTTTAAACTTCATGTATTTTTATGTGTATTTTAAAAGATACATGAAATATAAGTCTTGTGCTAAGTTGTACATACTTGTATTAGATGGTTGTAATCATGAATTTACATAGTAATAAATCTCCCAATAACCACGGAAAGGGTGATGTGTGTAATTTTTTTTAATTAGTTTCATCATTGATATGATTAGAATAAGCACATAAAGGTGTATTCTCTATAAATTAGGTAGTGTAATATTTGTATTATAAATTTGAAGTTTAAACTTCATGTATTTTTATGTACATTTTAAAAGATACATGAAAGATAAGTTTTGGGCTAAGTTGTACATACTTGTATTAGATGGTTGTAATCATGAATTTACTTAGTAATAAATCTCCCAATAACCACGGAAAGGGAGATGTGTGAAGAATTCTAGTATTGGTAAGAATTCTTCTAAAATAAATGCTAGGATTCCTAAGGAAACTATCAAGGACTTATGATTTTTTCCCTTAATTTTTCTAAGAGAATAGCAAGGTATGACCTTTTGCTTTTTGTTTTTATTTTCTTATACATTTTGTTTTTGTAAGACTCATTTTTCTCTTGAATACTTCAGTTCCTTTAGCCAAGTAGAATTCAGTTCTTTGCTATAATTTTGTTTTTGTTGTTGTTGTTATAGTTGTAATTTTGCTATAGTATCATGACTAGCTACAATGACATTCCTAAAGTGTGAACCCAAGGCAAGAGAAGAAAAATACTAGGATCGAGAGAATTCTGCATTACCAATGAAGCATTACCTTTCATTGCATGAATCAAGGCTTTTAGATAGTCAATTTATAATTGGGTTAATTTTAATTTAATCATACATTCTCTCAAACTAACTCCCTTATGATGCATTTTTTCTTCCTAAACTATTTCATGAAACCAGCAATGACCTTTATTTCTTAAATTAGTTCCTGAAAATCAGGAATATTTATTAGAATTTTAATTTCTAGATACATACTTAACCAAAATAAGTTTAAAAATAAAAAATCATTCCTATCATGTTGTAACTTGGATTTTGATTCAATATTTTCTTCTGGCCTCTCTTGACTTTCTAATAACATTCTCTTTTCACTTTTGAACACATGATAACTTGGTCTTTTTATTCAATAATGTGAGTTGTAAGATTTTTTAAAAGGATTTTCCTAGGTCACGTCCTTTTTTTTAACTGATTTTCGTAGGTCACAACCCTTTTTTTAACTTATATGCTTATGCAAGTGATTTTTTTTTATTTTTTGACATTTTGGCCTTGTTATTTCTTATCTTCCTTATAGCCTTGGGTTTATAATTTTGTTATTTTGGTTCATCTTTTTGATATTTTGTGGACCAACACGTGTGATGTGTCTTTAGTACTTTTCATAAAAAAAAGAGCTTTTCACCTTCCATGCAGACCTTCTAGTCTGTTAATCTTCTCAATCATCATGAAGGTGGAGTATTGGATCGATTAACTCTATGTTTTCTTTCTACTTGTACAGGATAGTTTTACTTTCTTTTATAAAAAATGGCATCCTTTTCCCATAAATAAGTTCCTTCCAAAATTACATGATATGCATCCAATAGAACAACCTCACTAATTGCCTCGTCAATAATCTCTCAAGAAAACAAACCTATGTGTAATTGTCTACTGACTCGACAAACGTTTACTCTTTTGTCTACTCAATAGCAACTAGCTCTAGTTTTTGACTAATGCTTTAACAATTTATTTATTTATTTCACAATTTCAATCCAAAATAGCATCAATGAGAACTAACTTCTACTCGAAGCTTGAGTAACCTCTTTACTGTCATATGCATGTAACAGTAGAGCTAATGTTGACAATCATGTTTGTTGATCCAATTTCAATTACATCTTCAAAGGTGGTGGCATTATTCTTCTTTTTCTTCCTGTATTTCCACATGGCTTCTTTTATGGATGTAACTTCAGCTACTTCTGAGTTTGTGTCTTGACTTTTTGCCACAATGATCTAGTGTTTTGCACCTTTATAGATGCTTCTACGATTTTTTTTATTTTGCATATGCACGTTGGGACTTCTATCAATTGAAAATGGACTTGTTCTCTCTCTAAGTTCTTTGAATTTAATTCTTGCTTCACGGGCGTTGGCAACTATAAATTGCTTCAACTTTATACGTAGACTCTCATGAAACCTTGCCACATAGTTCACGAAGATTGATTTTTAGTTTAATGAAATTTTTAAAGAAGTTTCATGCTTTCTAAACTCCATTGTATGATCTTGCATACTTTATTTATCCTTCTACTTCTGATTTTGTCATTAGATCCTTTTTTTTTTTTTCATGCCTTACATGAACAAAGATGCTTTTATTTTTTTTTTGAATAACCTGGGATATGCCTCAAGGAGTTCAAAATAATTATTTGTTGCCTTTTTTTCAACTTCCCTATCTTAGTAGGATAACTTGAGCTTTGCTTCAACTTTAAATGAAAAAACATCTTCACTCCTTATTGATGGACATCTTTCTGCAGGCTATTATTGCTAGTTGAATGTTTCTCCTATCATCTAAAAGGGTGGTGAAGCAGATGGAGGCGGTGCTATCATTTCAACCATGACTTCAAAGGAATCCATCATCTTGATCATCCAACCAACAATTTACTTAGCCATCTATTCGTGCATTATGAGAAAATACTTAAATGTCTGAATGCTCTTCTTTTAGTCCATAGTATCTTTTCCTTTATCCTTTCTAGTCCTCAATTTCAGTATCAACATTTCCTTCCGATTGGGCCATCACTTTGATATCAAAAATATGATTTGGAAGACTTCAGTAATTACTTGGAATTTTTATAAGAGGACTAGAGTTCCTAAACTTATAAAGGAATCAGGATTTTCCCTTTGGTTTTCTTCTAAAAATGACACAATGGATTTTTCTTCATCCTTTGCAGGGCATTGCTCATTCTTGAAATCCTCACTCCTTTTTTATTGAATAGTAGGGTTTGATGCTCATTGATAGGGTATTTTTCTGTAGTATCTTGTCCTACAATGATGTCAAGCCATGAAAATAAAGGTAATAGAATAAGAATTTAGAGAATTTTACATTGTTTTTTATGACAAGAATAAAGACCATTAAATAATAGATTTGTTATAGAAATAAATTTGAAATTAGCCTTACCTTCTCCTAAAGCAGCTTCACAATTTAGTAGGATTCTTATCATTCCTAAATTAATTTCATTAAATGAGGCACAACCTTATCCCAAAACTAATTTTGCAAAAGAAAAAAAATCTTATTTGAAATTTTAAATTCAATGTACTTATCTAAATATATGTTTAAAGTTTAAAATCATCTCTTTCTAAAGTTTAGATTTTTATCCAATAGCTCAACTTCTTGGGTTGAATAATACCACTTATGAATCATTTGAGTGGCAATCCATTTTCACTCGTGTGCTTCTAGTGACTTGAACTTTTTATCTAATAATTTAAAATGAGAAATTCTCTTAAAAATTCTGCGTATTTAAAAAAGAAAAAAATACAGTTCTGAAGATTTAGTTACCTTCTTACTGGTCTATTTGTTATGTTGGGTAGGTTGGGTTGACTAAACAAACATAATAATATACCAGTTTGGGCTATATTAGCCAACTTGTTTAACTAGATGGGTCAGGTTTTGGACGACCAAGTTTGTTCCTTCCAATGTCGTAGTTATGTGAGGCCCCCATGTTGACAACGATATTTGTTTTCAATGGTTTTTTTGCACTTGTTTCATTGCCCTTCTAGCTTTGTGGAAATGATGTGCTCCACACAAGAAACCATAATGTTTCTTTGTGTTTCATCTCATGGAACTAATTGTGTTATGACGATTTGATTAATAGTTATGTGCATATAAAATAGGTTTTTCATGGAGATGTTACTTGAATTTTTATGATATGACTTGCGATGTACAATTGTAAAAAGAAACCAGAATGGTGGGTTACATGGCTAAAGATATGTACTTAATAGGGAGTAACCTTAGGAGAGCTTGGTGCTAAAAGAAAATCCTGATACTTAATTTTATTAAATCATAATTAATATGGTTTTGTTTTGTTAATAAGAGTGTTAGGATATCAGGATTTCACTATGCTTCACAGTTGAGAGGCTAAAACATGAGAATTTAAGATACATATCTGATAAAATCAAGATGGATATAGTAAAAAGTATTTTTTAGACTTGATTGTTGGAATAGCACCTATTGAAATTAAAATATTTGAAAATATGCTTAAGTTGTTTTAACATGCACCAATAGCAACTGCACCAAGAAAGTAGGATTATCTATAAAGTTAAAAATAGACTTAATCAATGAATGGGCAATTAGTTGGACCTTGTAGTCCTGACTTCTTCTCTTGATTGATTTGCCCCAAAAAAAAATTAAGCTTACTCATAGAAGTTGATCTTAAATACTGAAGCTAGATTTTGAATTGCGTTAGAGATAACTACAACAATTAAGCCCAACCGAGCCTCAAAAATTTCAACACATTATATTTATTAGTCAAGAAAAATTAATAATAAAACTAATTGAGGTGACATCAAATTTATCCCTGACCACAGCATTGTTTTTTCATGGAGGTTATGCACTTCATCCATCAACAAAGAGTAATGCTTATGGATGACCATTTAAAACTCATTAGAGGTGGGAAGTGAACGCTTATTGCTATTCACTATTGGGGTTAGCTTCCTAAATGCCTAATGAAAAAGCAGTTTCTTAGTATTTAAGATTATTGGCAATAGTTTCCTCTTTGGGCGGGTTATCCTATGATTAATCTTTGATTATCTCAAACCCAGCACAAAGGATGCGATGGACAAAAAGAACTTTCTTTGGACCACAAAGCATCAGAGTTCTTTGATAGTATTTTTCAGCTTTGTAGGTTGGGCTGGCCTGTAAGCCCACTGTACAGTGTTCAATTGAGGGCTGTTTTTGGTTGTCATTTGCTTTTATTTTCGGACTTCGCTTGATTTAAGCATTACATAGAGGCAACAAATTCCAATAAAGGCAAACTGCACTAGGATCTACCTACCCAGTAAGATTACCTTATGTTGCGCGTAATAAAATGAATGTAAGATGGTGGAGTCCCTTCTCAATATGAATAACTTGAGCTACAACAAAACAATGCCCATCTCAGTTTAGCCAGTTCCTTTGTATGTGCTTGCTTTTATGTTTTTTTTTTTAGTTCTCTATTTTTATATATTTATATATATTTTTTTCATGTTCTCCTTTTCTTGCCACTCAATCAGGTTTTGCTTTTGGTATTTTGCTATTCAGTACTCTTTCATTCTTGATTTTTTCCTTGGTTTAGGTTTGACTTTCTTTCTTAAAGTCATCTCTCATTCTTGCACAATCTATTTCTTTTTATTACGTTAGATTTTGTCCCTTGTTGTTTGCCCTGATCTTTATTGCCCTTTATCCACAATTTCTAATATCTGATTCTTTCCTCAATGTACTTTGTCCTTAGTGCCATCCTTAATTTCCCACTTACTTCCATTGGAATGTTGTTGTCTATCACCAACAAATTTAGTATTTGTTGATAATTTTATCTTTTATATTGTTAAGGTCACATAGCAATGTGAATCTATTAGAAGTTCTTACATTGTTGTAATTTTTTTATATGATCTCATGTTTAACCTATACCATATAGTTTTGAAATAAGTACTTATTTATTGAGAACTATTGAGTTGATATCTTCTATCTTGAGACTAAACTACTATAAATTGATGCATTTTCTATTTCCACTTTTAGATATTGGCATTTTTCGGTAATTTGAACCATGGTGGTTGCACTACTTCTTAGTGCTTCTCACAAAATGATCCCTTGCATTTGCTCATCTTTCTTGGTTAATATCACAAGACACCTATGTTTGTACAAAAATCAAGTTTAAATGCTAATACAGATAATAGAAATTGACTTAATGTTAGCTCATTTTTCATCTAATCTAAATTTACACATCATAATAATTATTTCATTATTAGACAAATGCCTAAAATTTTGTTGACCGCCTAAACCATATGTCCTATGCATTCGGTGTCATGCTAACTGGGGTTTGAAAATTTAGTTCTCAAATCTATGAATTAAGACTCGTGATGTGAAACTTTTTTTTGCATCAACATTTTCAAGTTTAAAATGAATGGATGGATGGAGATCTTAATAAATACCATTTATGAAGTTCCTAAATTTAATTTTAACTAAATCATTAATTCACATCATCGTTTGCTTTATCCAAACAATTTTGGATCAGCTTTATGAGTTGTTGGCTCTACTTTGCACAAATATTTTTGCCCAACAGCTAATCATGTGACGCGGGATGGAGCCGCTCTCGCGATAGTGCGGGAAAATTCTGCAGGCGGGTGTGAGAAAAGCCAGCTGGCTGAACCAGCTGGCATAAGGCGCCCGTCCAGCCCCCTACAGGACCGCGGCGGCTTATAGAGGGGGCAGCAATGCTGCCAG